CGATTTAAAGTCTACTTCATTTGTATTTATGTCTCGCAAAAAACTAATTGTTGACGAATGGAAAAGCAGTGAGAAAAAAATCGATTGGGAGAAAGATGAAGAGGAAACTTGGGTTCGAGGAGGTTTTACCTGTGCGCTGCAGGATTAAGCATCGCCTGGAGGTCACCATGACGCGAGGTGATGCGACAAACGACATGTGAGCCTCCGATCAGACGTCGCGACGCGTCCAATTTGCACGCGACGTCACGATCGTGCTTGCATAATCCTAAACGGTGGACGATGAACCGTCGACGGGTACATTACAGATCGTGACAAATATCAGAAGGATCTCTGACGAATTTTTCATACAACTACGATATAAATGTCATGATGTATACTGAATATGACATGATGACGGCATAAGAAAATATTTTCGTCAGGTTCATGTTAATTAACCCACATTCAGTACCACGACATTCCATTTTTTAAATACCGAGTATAATTGCGATTGATTGCTGATACCATAATTATACCCGATATGCACGAAAATGGCGTGTAGGGTCAAGCGGGTTAAAGCAGTTTAAAAGAACACACTTCCTACGCTTAGTATACTTATATAATTATCTCTTTACATTTATACACTATCGTATGAATATCTCTTATAGCTTTGGACACATAAAGCATTGTTTAGGATTAGTTATGAGAGTAAGATAGAAAGGTACAGAGACGGGTGAAAAAGCATCGCAACGCGAACGTTTGTCCACCGATGATTTTAAGAGAACAACTTTGAACAACAGTTTTAAAAATATCCAATACAACTTATGTTACTCGCCATTACTGCTTTATTAAAACGACAGATAACCGTTTTGTGTTTTCTCTCGAGAGCGTGTTATAAAATTCCGCCACTTTTTTTTTCTTTATCGAGATACTGCGCAAGCTGATACATAAGGTAATCCCATAGTCTTACGTTGTGGATACATTTAATTTTATTTGAGGGAGACTATCTCCAAGATATATCGCGCTTAAAGCTCGGCTGCATATATCGGCCAAGCCGAAAAAAAAAATAAATATATATATATATATATATATATATATATAACGTGAGCAACGTAATTCTCTAAGATACGCAACTTTCCAAAGAGAACATTTTCAAAAGAACGCTGAAATTCGTCAAGCGAGGATACTTTGAGGGGGATTTTACGCGGACCGAACGGACTTTCAAGAATGTCTAGAATTTTCAAGCAACAGCAACGGTTTCCCACAGAGCTTCTTAGAGAGGATTACAGAAAAATCTCGGAATTACTGGCAAAGTTCCGAAGTTAAAAATAACACAGTTATCCGATGGACTTTAAGGGCCATCCTGTCTATACTAAACGACTTCTATTTTAATACAAATCTCGTTTCTATTGTATATACAAATCGCATAGTCGACTCAATAGATTGTTATCTTTGAAAATACTATTGCGAAAGCATAAATATAAACAGGGTGGATCCCACGTACCACTCTGATCAACCGCACTTTCCTCGAACGACAGACGCTACATGAATATTCAAATAGAACTGTATGCAAAGTATAATCACGAATTCAATATCCACGTTCAAGTACGTACTGCATATCGCGCATGTTTAAGCCTAACAATAGTTGAATTAACGTTGAGCTATCGTCAATGAAAAACGAAAAGTTCTCGCATCGCAACATTTTCTTGAAATATGGTTCGCTTTTTTATTAGCTTGCGCAGTATCTGGATTAAAGGGAATTGCGTCGGTCAGAGACACTCTGTATGAAGTTAATCCTTCAGGGACCGGTAGTTCTATCGCGGAGCCATCTTTTCCAGCTTCTCTACTTTGTGATACAGTAATTCCGTCGAAACGGGAATATCACGGGGATAATAGGGAGTGAGAATGTTGCAGTTAAAATATTAATATGAGAAACTCAAAAAACGTTTCGACACGATTCTTACGCTTTCTCTCTCTTCTTCTTTTCATCCGTTATGATACCAAGTGTTACGAACGCACTATGACAAGGGTTCTGATGTATCAAACGTAGGTGGACACGTCAGCGATTCTTCCAAAAAACTTGATAGACATAATTGCCCACCAAAAAGACGAAAATGAGCGAACACCGTTCACAACACGAGGCAACGACAATTAATCAATAGACTATATAGGGAGAAATTCCCCTAATATTTCCATCTTATAAATCGTTTTGACATGTTTTCTTTTTTCATTTTTCTTACGAGAATAGATGAGAAACAGCGAGGATTATTAATCATATTGACATCTTAATTAACCGACAAAATGTCTATTAACCCTCGTCGAAGAATTCCTGCGTGTTGAGAGCAAATCTCTGAAATTTTACATGCGAAGATTTCTCCGTCGGAGAAGGGAGGATCGATTGCGCCCCGGCTAGACGAAAACGCACATTAATCACTCGGAGAAGAACACTTCCAGTGCTCTTCTCGCAATGTGGGATGACTGCGATTTTTGCAACCATTTCCTATTCCGACTGGCGCGGCGTCTGCAACGGCGCTGGATGGACCAGCACGGGAAACCGTTGTACAGCCGGCGGTAGGATACTAATTAATCAACACGATACGTCATGGCAGGACGACCTCCCGACACGCGTGGACGAGGTGGGTAACTTCCTAATTTACATTTTACATGGGGGGCTACATGCACAATTTGGTAGCGCAGGTCGAGACAGCTTTTGACGTGCCGCGAATGCAACGAGGAATGTTATTATTCGATCGCGGCCAGCATAAGCCGGACTCTCATAATGGAACTTTCATGTCGTTCTAGGAAATATTCCGTGTCGTTGCAACGCGATCGGACGACACGCAATTGAACGATTATTATTTATAACAAGGACATCGTGTAATTAATTAACGCGCCGCGACGTGCGACAGGGGATGTCCTTGACGCGCCCGGGAATCAAGTGACAGCGGCAATTTATATTTCTCTCAAATTTATTACGACTGCTTCCGACGAAACGAGCAGTCATGCTGCATTTAAATACGAAAGGAAGTAACCGTCGTTTTGAAATAAAAAACCGCCGAACTGAATAATTTCCGCAAGAATATTTCCACGGAAAAGTCGACCATGCCGGAAAACGAGTGACCATCGCAATAACATAAAAAAAAACAATCCAGCCCTCTGATGCGTGCATCGCGCGTATGTACGTATCTCGTTCTTTTTCTCTTATAAACGATCTACCCCCGAGAAACTATATTGAAAAAGATGATAAAGAACCGCGATTTCCACTCATCTCTCTGAATCCCATTACATCGCCTTCGCGTTTGTCGTTACAACGTTATTACGTCCAGAGTCCTTAATTACGCTTCCTTAATTTCGCAAGCTTCGCGTTAATGAATATGCGCGTCCTACAGGATCGCGATCTCCGATCCCACCCGCTATTTCCTAGATGAGCGATTTCACAACAGAAGTGGAAGCGACGATCGGTCCAATGCGATACAACAAAAACACCATCGGCGCAGTGCGCAAATATTTGTGCGGCGGCGATTTGGCGCGCGGCATGCGCGCGTGTTTCGACTCTCAGCTGGTGGCATCAACGTGCCACTAACGAGGCGCGAGACGTCGCGTCGCTCTGGAAGCGTCGCGAGTTGACGTCAATATTGAAACGCCGAGTCCTCCCTCCCTCCTACACCACCCCTCCCCATAGCCATCCCGCCCCTGTTCCTCCTCCCGGGATTGCGGCGCTCTACATCTGCCTGCTCCATTCAAAGCTCGAAACTCGACGAGACGCTCGTACCGATTCCGGAAGCGAGAGAGCAACGTTGGAGAGATGAAGGCTCGTGCGACGAAAGAGAGCGTTCGAAAGCGAAATTTCCACCCTCCTCACCTCCAATTCACATCTCACCCTCATACGGCAACTTTGAAGAAACTTAACCGCGCGGCGAGATTTTCGAAAACGAAATTCAGCTGAACGATTTTGCACAGATCACGAGCAGTATCGTGAAATAAAGGGCCCCTTGTACGTCGAGTAGATTCAACTAGTTATATAGAAGGAAACAATTACCGTGGCTGATACCGGGAATATGAATCATGTTGGAGAGCAGTTTTGCAAAATAGATTCACTCTTGTATTCTAAGAGGAGAACGAGAATATGATGAAGAAGAACCGTGAGGAATTGATGAACCGTGATGAGCGTGTAGCGTGTAAGTGAAATCTGCCAGCTGCAACCTGAGTAACAAACTTGAAGAAATTCACGTTATAAGATCCATACGAATTCCGGAAAAGAGATACTATGAGCAATACCGAAGAGATGATTCATCGCATCCCTGCAAAATCCAAAACTCGAAGGCTATAACCTTGAAGAATTTCACGTATTCTCGTTTTGCCCCTGTGTCCTTTGTACGCAAATATCGCCAACGACAAAGGACCGAGATTCGCCAAGTTTCGAGAGAACAGCACGAATTTCTGAATAAAGTCCTACGTTAGAAGATAAAAGTTTCCGACGCGAGTTGCAATATCGATGTGACATTTCCGATCGAACGTCTAGCAAGTCATCATGCACCGATATCGGCCAGAATCGTAAAAGGAGGATCCCTATGATAGAAACAAATCGTGTATGATATCACCGAAGATGTAAACGGAACGTCGGCGCCACTGGTTACCATTGGTTACCACTGGGGCAGACCAGCGAGAATTTTAATTATCCTCGAAAACAACTGGCCGCAGAGGAGAAATAGATTGCGTTCGTACATTCAAAATTCCACGAAGACATCGTTTCTCTTCGTCCACATCGTGCGTTCGCTATGTCGGAAAAGAAGAGAGAGAAAGAGAAGGGAGAGACAGGAGGAAGCAACGAATGACGCGTCGTGACGTCGACGGACACTTGTAGAAGGGCGAGTAAGAAGTGATGGAAATTCAGAAAGGCGCGGGGGGAAAGATGCGTAGCTAGCCGATCGTTCAGTGAGGTTGCAGCTAACCGGTGGACGGGTTCGCGTCGCGACTGAGTGTCAGGACGAGAGAGACGCTCATGGAGGGAAGGTGTCACTCACCCGATGCAGCCAGGGCTATCGCCGCAACGAGCGTCCACCGTCTCATGTTTGCTCACGAAGGAGCCGGAGCGAAGCTGCTCCTTCTCGTCGATGACCGCCTGACCACCTCCTCCACGTTGCCGATTTTCCCCTCCTCCCTCCAGCACCACCTCCTCGCGCGTCCGCCGCACGTGGCTGTAGGCGCGTCGAGCGAGGACGAACCTCGACCTGGAGTCGGACCCGGTGAACGCGATCAGCTGTCCTTGACGAGCCGCTGGAAACGAAGCGATCCTCAGGGCCCGCCGCCAGGTCGCACCGGGCTCGCCAGGTGCATCGTCCTAGCTTCGTCAGGGGCACGTGACCGTCTCCTCCAGGCAGCAGCGGTGGTGCTCCGTCCGCTATCCTGTACCGAGTGGTACAGCTCGCGCGCACTATGGTCCGGACGGTCTGCACCACGACGCGGCATCGTCGGGCAGCAGCGCGAACATCTCTCCCAGCTTGAGTCCAGCCGCTCGGACTGTCCACCTAGTTGCGTATCTCGGCCGCCAACACAGAAGCACCTTGATGTCGCCCGATGCAGGTACGGAGATTCAGGGACGCGGTCCGATCATCGGCTTCCCGCGTTTGCTCGCCGCTGCATCGGGTCAGGGCGGCTGTGAGAGAGAGAGAGCTTCACCCTCGATGTCTCGGAGCGCGCGCGATATATCCCCCGATCTCTCCCTTCCGTCGGCCCTCCTTCTAATCTCAGTCGCGCGAGACTTTATCACTATCTCCCGTTAGGGAGGATGCGGCCTCACCGGCGAGCAACGCTGGACTGATTCTCATTTGGCTGCAGCGCCGCGCGGTACCGCCGCCTCGGCGCTAGCTCTGTGGGTAGCCTACCGCCACCGTTCACCACCTCTGTCCTTCCTCTCAAACCCTCTGCTGTCGCTCCCGCCCTCTCTGTCTAGCCTAGCGTGTACACCTGCCAGTCGCCGTGCGTCTCCCCCTCTCCGCCACTCTGCACCCCGTATCGTCGTTCTACCTCGATCACCGACGCCGTCCGTCCGTCTCTCGCAGTTCTCCACCCCGTCCTTCCACTCTCTCCCTCTAGCTCGCTCTTCTTCTCCTCGCATACGTATATACCTTCCGCCCCTACTCTCCCTTTTCTCTTCATCCACCAGAGCGCGCTCTGCTCTCGCTAGCGTTCAACCTCTCTCGGCGGCCCACATCCGCGCGTCGTGGTACACCATGCGGTACGACCTATTCCCCTATCCCCCCAACTTCCACCTTTCCTCTCCGACCCTCCCGCACGACTCCTCGCTCTTCGGCGTCCCTCTTCCTCCCGCGGCTATAGTGCATCCCAACATCGCCGGAGAAGAGAGAATCGTTACTATGGCGAGATCAATATGATAGGACGGCGCATGCCTCGGTATCCTTATACTTGAACCCTTCGCCACCACTCGCTCCCTCGCAGTTTCGCTCGCTCCATCGCCGTCGCACCTATGTCCACCAGGCTCGCGCTCTTTCGTATTCCCCCTCGTTCATCCCTGTCGGCGTACCCCTCCACTAACGTCCTCTCTCTCTCCCTCCGGTTCTCGCGCGTACGTTCCTTCGTCTTGGCGCGCACTGGAGGCCGCGTGCCAGACCGTGGGCGGCGTTGACTTAAGTCGCTTCAGTCAACAGAGGGCCGCATGCGAGAGGATATCACCCGGCACCGACCGGCGAGATGTTCTTCTTTTCCCTCCAATGAAATAGAAGCGACGTCGAAATGAAGCAGCGGAATGCGTAGACTAGTTAAGTAGACAAATTCATCTGAGGCTCACAACCACCGACAGTTTACTATCAGGAAACTCACCAAGTGTAAGAAGACAAGATGTATTGTGGATTGTATTTTGGTTGATTTGAACGTAATTAATAAATAATTAGGAAAAACAGTGTTTAGAAAAAAATGTAACTAATATGGTAATTGTTCGTATGGGAGAAAAATCAAATTGGTCGTTTATGGGGTCGTACTTTGGCGCATTCAAGAAGATGCCGCGTTCAAGACGTGCAATGTAGAGCATGATTTAACCGACCGGCAGATTCCTCTGCTATATTTCGACGTTACTTTAGCGATAGAAGCTGCAAAGGAACGCGAGCCTGAAGAATGAAGGTGCAACTATCCAATCAGCAGTGAGATGTAGCGTGACTATGTTGTGGAGCACGCTGAAATAATATTGCGGAAAAAGAAAATAGAGCAAAGTAGCAGTCATCATTGACTTTAGTACGATTGAGAGAGATTTTCCCTCAACATCCACACGATACCCTACGATAATATCGAAATAAAAAGAAAAACGTAACTGTATAAAAAAATCAATTTCTTTAAATAACAGATTCTATTTTGAAGGAAAGAAATAATAGGGAAGAACGTTTGTTAAAAGGGTCGTGTCTACATGACCTGAGAAGACGGTCTGCGTAGTGAAACATTTCAATCCTCGTTTGCCAGTGATTTTTATGAAACAGGTAAAATATTCCAGCCTGAAGCCGGCTTTTTCTTCTGATTAGAAAAAGGAGTCGCCCGGACGAGGGTTAACGCTCCGATGGCCCGATTCTCCTTTGTGTTACCTTTTCTTCGTCTCGGCGTTATGCTCCGCTCTTCCGCATCGTGTCCAGCGACGACGACGATGACGACGGCGACGATTATAGCACGACGTGAGACGCGTGATCATGCACGAGCGAATTCCCGATAAATCAGTCTACGTTTGTAACAATCTTACGCTTCCTTCTTCGAGTATCTCGCAAATCTCGCCCCTAAAACTAAAGTCTAAACGATGAATTCGGTGACGTATTTGTTGCGGAATTTCATGAAATTGCGGCTGAGGGAACTGTGATTTATACTCAATGTCGTAAAGAGGCAATTTTCCTATATATTCTGTTATCCCACTAGCAAAGCCTAAGTTGGAATGGGCATTTTGACAGGAGATAAAAAGGCCGTGCTAGGAATGCGTTTCTGGCAATTCGATTCCTTAATGTTCCAACGCCGATAACCCGTAAACACGTTGAGTACCGTATTTATGTTCGCTGCCATCCCGGTGCCTCCGTCTTCCCGATTTCTACGCCGCCGGTAATAGTCGCGAGTTTATACATTCTGCTGGCGTCAAAGTTCCAGCGTTTCTCAGGCAGTTTTTGAACAGTTTCCGCCGCGATGCTCCGACGTTTCTTCGACATCTCCTCGCGCTTCCGCTTCTGATTGTCTGTTGCGTTTCCGCCTCAACGGTCCCTTACATTTCTCAATCCAACTTATTTGACGCCGTCCAATCGCGAAGAATAACCAATGTAAGCTCGACGTCTTCGAGTTTGCGATCGACTGCGAAAAAGCGACGTAACTTTTCCGCTTTTCAGTGTGACTCCGTAGTCTTCTTGTTTCCGCTTCTGGCTGGCGCCGGATGGAATGGAATATTCCATCCTCGTGTGATTCGACTAGATGCTTAAGCTTGTCTCGAACTTGTCATCATTCATCGAAGATATTTTCTTCAATATCTCGGAAATTTCGCGCAACAATTCGCAAACGCGTGCGAAACTACATTCTTAACCAATAGATAGGAGGTGATAGATTGTACATAGATTATAGATCAAACTATATATATAGCCGGTGTCAAAAATTAAAATTTATAGCAAATTTCTAAGATGTCGGAACACTTCGCTCCGAAGATACGTAAGTCAGCTTTGTTCCATCTATGAGTTTTTAAGTCAATAAAAACTTTCTCACTCATTCAATCATAGAAACAGGTCCTGTAAAAATCTGACGCTATTTTCCGGCTATTTCGTATAGTTATATTACGTAAAAATAATACCGCAATTTTGTATTAATCACGTAACTTGCAACGGCTGAGATCCCCAACGGATATCATCAATTATCTAAGTTACACAGTTTAGTAACAATACGAACGTCATAGCGTTTCTTTGCTAGCCTGCCTCGAATGATGCACGATTGTTGGCGCGACGTTATCAATATTATCGATTACTCGCTATTACCTATTTCGTCCCGCTCGAGGCACGAGAGATACGCGGGACTCACATCACGATGAGACGCTAATTAACCCGAATGCGGCACCAAGAGTGAAGACCCTCGAACGCAAAGATTACATCTCGCGAGCTACGTTGGCAATCTGTTATTTACATCCGCGATGCAAATAATGACATCCCGCGAATTTGGAATACTTTCAAGCGCGATGACTATGCATCGTCGCATACGAGCCATTCAATCAAATCAACTAATGGCCACAATAGCGGAAATTGATGGGCACATTAATTATTTATAATCCTCGCCGAGATGGATTAAAAATTTATTTTCATCTCCGTACCGATCAATTCAAGTTTTGGCCGCGAAACAACTGACATTTCCTTTCAACAAGATCGCACGATCGGCGAGATAAATCTGCGAGAATTTAATTGAAATTTCAATACGAAAATTTATACAAATAAAACCTGATTCGGGTATAAATTGTCAAATATTCACAACTGCCGTGTATAACTGGTGCGCTGCATATAATTTCGCGGATTATCGTATCAGATTTGCGTTATACGTGAGTCGTCATCGACATTTCCGTAAATGAAGATATATCTTGCATGCTTCGTGAATTCGAGAATACAAGATCACCTGCAGACGGATGATAAATTACTGTGTACAATCGACTTCTCATGAACTGCGAAACGTGTATGTTCTGCAGTAAACAGATAAAGGGTTTCCCGTTTCATCCCTCGAACACCGCTTTAAAAGTATTAATTAACAAGTTATCAGGAGGCCTTGAGTATGCCAAATTATTTTACATTTTGCAGTTTCACATTTTATTCTCGTCATTCAATTTTCTATATACTGATATGAAATTTTAATGAGAAACGTTCACTTTCCACGCAGATATTTTGAAGTTTCAACAATACAGTATAACACTCATTAACTGTAAAGTTGGAAGTTTGCGTCTTGAAAAATTTGATAAATATATAGATCGGTCTATTTTAATTACTAAAAGAAAATAATAAATTTATTGTCTCTTTCAGTCCTAATTTTTGTGTAAAATCAATAGTTACATTCACGGTACATGTGGAAGCAGCATGAACGGCAAATAAATGAGAAAGGGAGAAGAAAGAGGCGTGGAAATAGCGTATAAAGCCATTTATCACTTGGAAGGACCGCGA